TCTCGACTCCGCACTCGCCCTCCCCGGCCCCCGCCCGCCATTGGCCTGCGCCGCCAGTCCAACGAGACCGACGCGTTGCTCGTAGGAGGATCCCCCCCGCCCCTCCTCTCCTCCTCCAGCCCCCGGCGGAGTGCGGAGGAGGCTGCCAAGGTGCTTTGCCATCGGGTCCCCGCCCCCCTCTCCCCGCCTCCTGGCTTTATTGAAGCCGATTCCCAGCAGCCGGGCTGAGCGCGGAGAGACCTTCCCTCCCGAGCCCCCGGCGGGGAGATCGCTGCTCTCAACCCCCCGCTCGGATCCGCCCTCCTTCCTCCCACCCCGCGCCTGCTCTTGCGCTCTCCTCCAGCCCTGCCTTCCCGCTGCGCTCGACTCCGCTCCGGATCCGAGCCTAGGGGCGCTTCTCCTGTTAGAATCCCGGCCTTGACACGGAGTCATCGCCGCGGCCAATCAGCTCCGCGGGACTTCTTCGCTAGCGTTCGGATTTGGAACGTTGGCTTTTGCCCGCGTTCCGAACCCGAATGCCAGTGCCTGGGGGCTCGGGGAGGCATCGCTCGCTCGTAATCACTCCCCCGCCTCCTGGTTGAGAGGTTCGGGCTGTGTCTAGTCTCCGGCAACTTTGCCCCCTTGCATGACCCCCGTAAGATTTTATCCCACTCCACCCCCAGCAAGCCAGGGGCTGAACTGTGTGTTACGCTGGGCCACTACGGGCATCTTCCTTATCTCTTTGGCGGTTACATTTTCCACTTAGCGGGATCTCGAAATGCCCCTCACCTTTGCAATGCAACCGCTCCAGCTTTACAGGGCTGCTGAATGCTTTGATACATTTAGGCATCTCAGACAAGGAGCCAGGAGGAGAGGGAATTGTTTGAGGCTGATAACAATGGACAATTTTATCAGGGAGTGTGAAGTGCCATGTAATAATCTCTATGAATGGCTTCAACACTTACATTCCACTTGCTCTTCCTCCTTCCCTAGCTAACATGGTTTATCTCTGGCCAGGCTAAATTATGCAACTTTTTTTCCCTTCTTCAAACCCTGCAACCGCTCTGTTTGTGAGAGGTGACAAGACGGCGCAAAAGCCAGTTTTGTAGTCAGCACACTCAAGCCTCAAATAATAATCAGTGATGAATCCCCCAACCCTGTCCCAGCCAATAGGTTTGGTATAATTAAAGGCTGACGTTTCCGATTATCTGTCCCATAGCGATCTGCTCCCCCCACCCCTTCCTTTTCCTTTGTTTAAATTGTTTTTAAATCTGCTTGGCCCCGGTTACACACACCAAACAAAAGGCATTAGGAAGGGGAGGGGGGATTCATTCAGCAGCATAGAAACAGCAGCAAAACCAGTTTAGGAACACAAGAGTCAGTCATTCCTTAAACTAATCCGTTTGCGTGTTTTTCTACATTAAAAGCTCTCTTCACACCAATTGCCCTGCACCATAGCAACTTTTCAGTGTTGCTCCCAGGGCACTCCGATCAGGTGACTCCATACATTTCAAACGGATCTGCTCTCCCTCCCTCCTCGTCACCCCTACTGCAGTTGTGCCCATGACAAAGAGCTGAATCCCTGTGCCCCACCCCACAGTTCAAGCTTGCAGCTGTGTTTCCACAGTATCAGCGTAGCAGTAGCACAGCTCACAGACAAGATCTATTTGATTCTCAAGCCTGCCGCTAACCTTGCAGCAAGCGTGATTAGATCAGCTGCTACCCACAGTTCTGGTTTTGGTCACTTGCTTTGTAGGTTTCGTTTCTTCAAAACACCCGAAACAACTGACAGATGACAGACTGAGGAGCAATGGTTTCATGGCAGCGAGGGAGGTTTAGATTGGATATTAGGAAAAACTTTTTCACTAGGAAGGTGATGAAGCACTAGAATAAATCACCTAGAGAGGAGGTAGAATCTCCATCCTTGGAGGTTTTTAAGGCCCGGCTTGACAAAGCCCTGGCTGGGATGATCTAGTTGGGGCTGGTGCTGCTTTCAGAAAGGGGGTGGACTAGATGACCTCTTTGGGCCCTTCCAAGCTTCCTTTTCTGACTCTATGAACTACACAAAGATATGTCAAGGGATACAGCTTTGACTCCCACCCTAACTTCTCCCACTTGCAACAAAGAAGAAAGGTCGCAGGGTTCACAACAAAGTGCACAGACTGCACTTCCCCCTTTAAAAAATGTATTGGCTGTTTCTGGATTTTTTGAAAGTTATTTTTGGGATTAAAATCAGATCTGAGACCCCTTTTCAAGCAAAACTCTCAGTAAAGGCAACGGGAGTTTTTGCCTGTTCTGGTTTTGTTCCAACTCCTTTCAACTGTGGTCCTGCTGTTTGTTCTGTGCTCCGTTCCTTGACAATAGAGGGCGCTCTTGAGATATTCCAAATATTTGGGTCAAGCACTGGAATTGTGCTGGTAAAAAGGAGAACATGCATTTCATCCAGGGTGCTTTATTGTACTATTGTTAAATTTGACAAGTTCGAGATTTGGCTGCCTAACATCTGCATGGGTGTGAGTGTTCAAATGCACAGCCTGCAGCAAATCTGACCTACCCCTGCCCTGCCAGATAGCTCTCATTTTGAAGGCTCAGGGCCACTACATTAGCTGAGACAGTAACATGGGAAGATTAAAGTTCAGTATTTCAGAATAGGGA